GGGGGGTTCTGGGGGAACCTTTAATTTTTTTTTTTTTTTTTTCTTGCGGTTAGATTTCAGCCAGATCAGCGAGCCAAGTGTCCGGGCAGGGGAGGGAGCGCTGGCAGGGGAGGAGGCAGGGATGCCACAGCCAGGGCTGGACCTGAGCAGCTTCTGTGGAGCTGCCCCCCTGGCAATTGGCAGCTCCCTCCTGAAAGCCAGCTGTAAAATGTGAGGAATGCAGGGTTCCCAAAACTCTCGCTTAGCACATTGCCTGCACCCTCTTGCAGGGGTGAATACCTCTTACCTTGGAGGCTGTGTGGGGAGGAAAGGAGCTGTCTCTTCAAGGGGAAGTCGCTTAATTCCCTAACGCTTCAGTAGTGCAGGAATATTTAGCTCTAATGTGGTTACAGATGCAACTGGAACTCGTCAAACCTTAACCTTGTGGACTTCAGGGCTGGAAAAATTGGCTAGATTAATTTGAGTGTTGCTTTGAAATGGACACTGTAATTCAAGAACCACACTTCTGTCCAAAAAATGTTAGCTATAATTGCTACAAGTACCTAAAATGAAATAACTTGAGATGAAGGAAACGCATTTTCATCTTCACAAATCTTTTAAAACTGCAGTAAGCTGTCAAATGGGTGAAGTAACCCATTATTTCCTTTGTATGGTTCATTAGTGTTGTCTGTTATCAGAGCAAGTGGTGCCTTTTGTCTTGGACACGAGGGAGGAAACATCACTGTCTTGTCAAGAAGAACACGCAAATTGGCAACGGGGACTTGGGAGCTGCTTTAGTATCCAGAAGTGCTCTTAAATAACTTTAAAGATACTGACTCAGTTTTGGTTTGATGGCACGCTTATAAGTAACGATAGTCATAGCCAAGCGAGCCCTTCATAGGAGTTGATGATTGGTTGGCAAGAGCCGGTTACTAATTCTTCCGAAAACTCTCTGGTACAGGCTTGTCATCGCTATTACTCATCTGGATTTCTGATAAGCTGAAGCTGTTCTTAAAAGAAGGTCATACTTGTGGGGAATGGGACTTTGGAGGTCATTGAGGTCAGACGTCAAATATGTTTGAGATTTTCCTTTGTCTTAAGTGTTAGAAGGAAATTCTGATAGAAACTGGTTGTGCGCTACTTGCAGTGCCAGCCTTAAAAACAGTGTGCGGTGCACAAGGGTTGGGAAACTAAAGCGTTTGCTCTGTGATGTGCAACTGGAAATTGTCTGTTCTCATTGTCCACGGAGGAGTGGGTTGCACAAGGTAAATAGATGGTGTGAGCAGTAAGATGCAGGTTAGATTATACACTTCAAAAATAATTTCTTTTCTAATGAGGCAGGCCTTGTTCTCTGTGCAAATGCTATCAATAAGTGGATTCTCTTCCAAGGGAATGGGGTTTTTTTAATGGTATATAGACTCTGAAAACAGATTCAAATGTTTATGAACTGCTAATGTCTGAAGAAAATATCATTCTGACTCAGGCCTTCTGTTGGTGGAGAAACAGTGAATGGAAATAGAGGAAGCTCAGCTGTATTCCTTAAAACAGTAAAGCAAATTAATTGACTGGCTGGTTCTGTTAGTGAGCTATGAAGTGAACCTTCCTTCATGTAGCTGAGGTGTATCAAGATGCAGAATTATGCCTTTCTCATTCAGATGGGCCTCTTCTTGTCCTCTTGTTACCTTAAATTTTCCTTTTCTTCAAGCCTGTCCTATTTCTAGATAATTGTGTCTTCCAACAGTTGAGCTGTGGCTGAATTGCACATATTTCTGGCCCCGTAAAGACCAACTATCAAACGGGCGATCTCTCTTTCTCTGGTTCTTCTAGAAAGTTTAATGGAAGTGAACAGATAGATTATCTACTGCCTTTCTTGCCAATCTCGCACCTGTAAAACTCATGGGGCCAGGCCTCCAACAATGAAATAAAAAGTATTTGTGGGTTTCTTCTTTGTCTGGCTGAACTTTCTTAGTCTTCTAAAAAAAAAAAAAGCCTAGAAGTTGAAATTATCATTGTTTTCCAAGTCCAGAAAATAGAGTAAGTAAAAGAGGGTGAAGTATCACTAGAATCACAAGTGTTAGTGACACTCTGAAGGGCAGAAAAGGGATTGATCCCAGAAGAAAAAAAGTTGCTCTTTGACAAACACATGCTGAAAAGTAGTTGCTAATATTCCTGTTATGTAAATATGCTTTCCTCTGTGACCACCAGTTCATGTCTATCTTTTTCTTTTATTTCTTTTTTTCTCTTTCATCCCTTCTGGAGCCTCGTCTTCCAATCTTTCCCCTGGTCTTTGCTTGGTTTATTACTTTGGTTAGTGTGCTGAGGCCTTAAACAGACCACAGCAGGGGCAGGATGACCTTTGAGTGCTCAGGAGTACCGGATGCTTCTGCAGCAGTGCTGCCAAGGATGCTGCCTACCCTCCCATGGCAAGCCGTGCCCTCTCCTAGTTTGGGTATTAAAACATTCAAAGCCTCTTGTAATGCTAGCAGAAATACGAGTTTTGGGGTTGTAACTGTGAGAACAATGCTGAGTGATGACTGTTGGCACAAGCAGCAACCTGAAGTGAGTGTGCATGGTACTGAATGGTGTCCATATCGCGATGGATAAAATATTGAACGCTTCCCCCTGCTGGCTGATCCATCAGCAGTGTTTGGCTTTGCATCTGGGAGCAAGCCAAGGTTTGCAGAGCATCTGAGGGGGATGTGAAGGCTGTGGGGTGTGCAGTATACCAGGAGCATGCCCAGGGCTGCTTTTCAGGGACAACACAACCTCTCCCATGGGAGCAACTGATGCTACTGGCAGTGCTGGGGGGAGTCTTGGGGCAGAGCCATGTGGCAGCCTTGGAAGGGCACATCCACGCACAGGGTATGTGTGCCTAATGTCCCAGGGGAGGTGTGTGTAGCAGTGTTGTTGGCTGTGACTTGGGAGGACTGATGTTGTATTGGGAGGACAGTGTTACTGATAACCAAAACCATCCTGCTGGAATGTAGGTAGCTGTGGCTGAGCGGCTGCTATGGCCACTCTACTGTTTGGTGGGATAAACCCAAGGTAAATCTTGCTTTCTGATGATTAACTCTTGTTAATGATGACACTTGTCATCATCAGTGATTTCCAGGGGGATACAAGGTAAATCTTGCTTTCTGATGATTAACTCTTAAGTGTCATCACCAGTGATTTCCAGGGGGATGTTGAGGGAAAAGGGATTAACTAAGTGACTTACAAGGAGGTGCTTAATGAGCTTCTGGTGTTCCTAAATTGATTCTTCCCCCCCCATCCCAGTGGGGGACAGACAACTTCTGCCTTTGCATCTTTTCCTCTTACAAAGTGCATGCTGAAGGGGCACTGAAGACTTTGAATGCCCCAGGCCCACGCCTGGCAGCGAAGTCCCTGCATCCATCGCACAAGATGCTCACCCCAACCAGCCCCTGCCTCCCAGCCCCGATGGCAGCATCGCTGCCAGGGCTAGTCAGCTTGTGTTAGGGCCTGCATTGATAATGCCCATCTTGAACACCAAGCTCCAGGAGCACAGCGGTAAAAATACCACCCTCCTTCTTGAAACAGCTATTTTAGAATAAAAGGGGAACATCGGGAGGGTGACAGAAAATACTCAGTAATATTGACAGCT